TAACCCTCCCACCATCCCAACCTCCCTGCCCTCGAGCCCCCCCGCACCCCAACCCCTCCCACATCCCAACCTCCTGCCCTGAGCCCCCTCCTGCACTCTGCACCTCCTACACCCCAATCCCTTGCCCTGAGCCTTCCTGCACACCGCACCCCTCCCCACCCCAACCCCCTGCCTCAGCCCTACATTCATGGCCTGCATGCAATTTCTCCACCCAAATGTGGCCCTCGGGCCAAAAAGTTTGCCCACCCCTGGTATAAGAGCTAACCTACCTCCCCCAAAAGCATGACTCTCTCCCAAGTCTCTCTGTCAGTCCCTTAAGTTTATATTTCCCACCAACAATACCTGGTTGCTTTATCCACTAGCCAAACCTCAGCCTCTACACACAGACAAGCTGGAAGAAATGGCTTCTCCCAGCTCCAGCCAACCTCCTTAGCATATTGACCAGTCAGAGTATGGTCATTAAAGTAAACTATTCTCCATTGTAGCTAATCTGGGAGAGATGGTTACAGCTTTGTCAGCAATGATGGGTACATATTGACAGAGACGCATTCCATGAGACAGAAATGTTCATAGCAACTTCATAATATCAACCAGACCAATTAAATTTACAGACAGATTCCCTAAATTGACAAAGGGACCACCCTGCATTTGCAGAGATGGAATGAAGGATCACATAGGCCTCTTCCATCTCTGACATTTTTGATTCTATGATTCTACATTGTGTTGTGGGGATGCTGCATATACATGTAGGAAGATTGCTAATTGTGGCAAACTGTCATGATTGTGTGATGCTGGTAGCACAGGTGGGGTGATTTGGAGTTTCAGTACAAAGCCTACTAGTTTGCAAACTTTCAGTCTATCTGTGTCTGTTTTCCCTTTCATAAGAAGGGTAAAAAGTTTCTAAAACTCAGCACAGAATCATAGAAATGTAGGGCTGGAAGTGACCTTGAGAAGTCATCGAGTTCAGCCCCCTGTGCTGAGGCAGAACCAAGTAAACCTGGACAATCCCTGACAGGTGTTTGTCTAGCCTGTTATTAAAAACCTCTAATGATGGAGATTCCAAAACTTCCCTTGGAAACCTTTTCTTAGAGTTTAACTACCCTTATAGTTAGAAAGATTTTCCTAATATCTAACCTAAATCTACTTGCTGCAGATTAAGGCCATTACTTCTTTTCCTACCTTCAAGGGACCTGGTGAACAATCGATCACAGTCCTCTTTATAATAGCTCTTAACATATTTGAAGATTCCCAGGTCCCTGCTCAGTCTTTTTTTCTCAAGACTAAATGTACTCTGCTTTTTTAACCTTTGCACATAGATCAGATTTTCTAAACCTTTTATAATTTTTTTTTGTTTTCTTCTGGACTCTCCAATTTGCACACATCTTTCCTAAAGTGTGGTCCCCAGAAATGGGCACAGTACTCCAGATGAGGCCTCACCAGTGCTGAGCTGAGTAGGACAATTACCTCATGTGTCTTACAAACAACACTCCTGTTAATATACCCCAAATGATAGCCCTTTTTTTTTTGCAGCTGCATCACATTGTTGACTCATATTCAATTTGTGATTCACTGTAACCCCCAAATCCTTTTCTGCAGCATTACCAACCAGGCATTGTTTCCCATTTTGTAATTGTGCATTTTGATTTTTCCTTCCTGAATGAAATACTTTGTGATTATCTTTATTGAATTTCATCTTGTTAAATTCAGATCAATTCTCCAATTTGTCAAGGTCTTTTTGATTTCTAATCCTGTCCTCCAAAGTGCTTGCAACCCCTCCCAGCACTGAGATCTATGACAGAAAAGTGCTATATATGAGAGAACCTCACTGATTTAAAGCTTAATAACACAAACACCTCAGAATTTCCAAACCAAAATTATGTCTCTCTGCTCTGCCCTTAGCAACGATTCATGGATGACTGTAGAGAGGTCTCATATTACTATGACTTCACTATTTTTAGAAAAGATACTAGAACATTAAACAGTATACTTGGATACATACGCTTAACTGCTTAAAATGAAAGTACACTTTTGAAATTCATGTACCAAGTACATTTTGTGATTCATTTTCCTTGCTTTCCTTTGTTCACATTGACCCCAATACATTCACAATGAGCTCCACATGGGAGACCACTGTAACAACTGTCTGCCTGCACAGAGTGGTCTGCTCTTGTGGCGCTCACAGCACAATTGGGGCCTAAATCAACAAAAGCAGTGAGAAAGTTAGGAGAATGCATCCTCAAATGTACTTTGTTCACTTATTTAAATAGCATATCTTATTGTCTGCATGGATCTCATTAGTGAAATTCATAATTAACAGCTGGTGTCCTAGTCACTAGTGCAAGCAGGAGCTAGCATTGCCAACCCTCCAGGATTGTTCTGGAGTATCCAGAAATTAAAAGATGAATCTTTAATTAAAGATTATGTCATGTGATAAAACTCTTCAGGAATACATCCAATCAAAATTGGCAACCTAGCAGGAACAGAACCTAAGCATTCTGCTAGCCAGAGCAGAAGATGTTTTCAGCATCCCCCAGAGAGGCTGAGCCCCCCCCCCAAAAAAGTGGCACAGTAGTATGGCACTCCCTAGAAGCTTGTGCTCAGGGCAACCACCCTGATCACTTGCTCCTAGAACTGGCTCTTGTAGCAACTTTCTATATTATTATTGCAATGGGTTTATAACATCATCTTCCCCAGGACCACTATGTGTAATGATTCCAAGAGGAGAGGTGCGGTGTGAAGCAAAAGAGAACTAAACAGATGATATTTTAAACCTTTCAGGTTCGTTCAGATTGTAAACTCCTTGGGGGAAAGGCCTTCTCGGGTGTGGGTACTACTGTAATCCCCACATAAAACAAACGAGAGTGATCAATAATAAAGCGGGGGGGGGGAAGCGGATCAGTGAGAGTACAGTCCTTCCAGCGTGCATGTCAGCCGCACAGCTCGGCACACACAAGAGCAAAGGGAGCGACACACGCTGTGCCGCCGAGACAAAGGTTTTTGTGAATGAGGAGCAATCTGCAAACCAGAGGGCAGCAGCCTTGTGGGCCTGCGCAATGCCGGCTGGGCGGCCGCATCTTCCCCCCGCTCTCTCTCCTTGGTCTGTAGAGCAGAGCAGAGGGGTGTGGCTCAGCGCAGCTCCCCTGCTCCCGCAGCCGGGCGAGAGCCAGCTCCGCTCGCTCTCAGCCTCCCCTGTTCGCTCCGCGGCGCGTCACAGCGCCAGCCACCAATGAGCGCAGGAGGCTGCCGGGGCGGGGCGGGGGGAAGGAGGAGTGGGGACAGGCTGCCGGCCAATGGGCAGTGAGGATGTTTTCAGGGGCAGACGCCGTAGCAGCCCCTCCCCCGCCCCAGCAGCTCCGGCGGCGGCGCCCGGGCGCGCAGAGCGGGCAGAGTTTCGCAGCCGGGTGGGAGATGCCGCTCTGGCTCCGTCTCCTTGCAGGTAAAGCTCTGCGGGGCTCCCGGAGCAGGGCCGGGCGGTGGTGCCTGCCCCGCGTGCCGCCCGCAGGGACCAGGGCTGGTCAGGGGGGCGCTCCAGGGGGGCAGGTGTCCTGTGCACCCGGTAGGTGGCTGGGCTGGGGCACGGGGCTGAGCCAGGTCAGGGGCGGGGGGTGGTGGCTCGGCGGGGCTGGCCGGGGTGGCTCTGTACCTCGCCAGGTAGGGGGTGGGTTTGGCTCCTGACTTCTGCTGCAGTGGGCGGCGGAGGCAGCATGGAAACCTCGCCAGCTTACGAACCACGCTACATCGTGTGTCATTCATGTGCTGCTGCTCCCAGGACAAAAGAAATACACGGAGCCGCCGCGGCTACAGCTCTGAAAACGTGTGTGTGGCCAAAGGTTCCTGTACTTGCTAGTAGCGCTCTCAGCACCGGTCTCATCCCACCCTTCTCCCACTCCCCTGCTGCCGCCTTCCCCAGCAGAAAGTCCTCCTTCTTCCGGAGAGTACAGGCTCCAGAGGGCGAGCTCTCTGCGTCTGCCTTTCCCTGCTGTGGAATGGAAACTAGGATCAAGTTTCTTGATTCCCCAAACAATGCTCGTGGCCAGCTATATTCTTATAGCGGGACCATGTGTGGATATCATCGTCTGTACAATGACAGAGGCGTTCTCATGCAGGCGGAGTACTGACTCTGGTTTTCTTTACCTGCATAAACAACTGATTCCATCTGAGACACCGCAGCCTCATTAATTCACAAATATCAGAGTAATCTGTTCTTCTTACAATGGAGTCTTGAGCTCTAGCAGTATGTTTAGATACGCTGCCAGCTAGTGGAATGTGGTGTTGCATGTAACTAAATATGCAACTTTCCTTCTACGTGTAAAGGAACCCCCTAGAATGATATTTTATTAAGTGCTGTGCCACACCACACAGCAGTGAAATGGAAATATGCACTGTCTCTGTACCAAAAAGAGAGCGGGTGTTGTCAGATCCCAGGTGGTATGGTCCCCTGGCATCAAGCACACAGTTGGGTCCCGTTTAAACAAACAAAACATCTGTGATATATATGATTGTTTCTCCCCCCATATTCAGGGAACATGCTTGAGTGTTTAACAGTTCTGTCCCTGTAATGAAAAACCCCACAGATTGACCAGTCCTATATATAGGTACTATTAAATAATGACCAATATAAATGAGAAAAATGGAAAAAAGTAGCCTGGTTAAGGGGAAACTTTCTGGGAAAGGGGAATTCTGAGCAGCTGCTGAAATCTGTTTTAATTAAGTATTTCTGTAGTGGCCATCATCGTCGTATGTAAGCTGTTAGTAGCAATGTATGTGCTTCCTTCTGATTAAGGGTTACAGTTTTAATCTTTCAGTAGATTATAAACCAGAAGTGGATTACATTTGAAAATATATTTTGCTTCTAGTGGTTGGCCTATTCTGCTCTGCTAGATAGCTTCTTCTGAGTCTGTCTTTCTTTCTCAGATCCATACCACTCCACACCTGTATCTCAACAGAATTGGGTACCACAATAGAGGGCTTGAGGGGGCACACCTCAGGAGCGTGTGTGTGTGTGTGTGTGCACACACGCACAGGTACCTACACAGGTTAGGAATGTGTAGACTGTTTCAAGGAGCTTGTGTGAGTTCCACTGGTAATGCTGACCAGCTCTGCAAGCTGAACAGCTATAGAGCAAGGAACTTTATCAGTTCCATTTGCCAAGCCAGCAGAGCTTGTAAACTCCACAAGACAAAAAACTCTAGTCTTTTTCTTTCTTAAAATAAATAAAACTAGGAGATCAAATGCAAAAACCCACCACTAAGGTTCCACAGGTTAAAATCATAAAGTCAAGAAATGCAAAACTTAAGGTTTTGAAAGCATTAATAAAGCTGGGTGGCAACATTACTTACTGTTCTTTTTCCTTATTAAATATATATTTGATTATGTGCCTATTTTATCTTTGTTAGTAAGATGTGTATTATAAAATATGCATGACGTGCTGCATGACCTAGTGAACTTTGCAGTTGGAATCTTAAGTTTGTGCTTCTCGACAAGGGTTGCCAATCCTTCAGGATTGTCCTGGAGTCTCCAGGAATTGAAAATTGTCATGTGATGAAACCTCAAGGAATCCATCCAACCCAAACTGACAACCCTATTCTTGACTGTGCTTTGTTGAATACCAGTTGTAGGGCCTCATTCTTTAAGAACACTATGCATGTGTTTCCTGTTGAAGTCCCTGTGAGTTCCACACATGGTGTCCTTGCAAACTTAGGCCCTTCATGTTGCATCAACGCAGTTGTATTTGGGTTTATTGTGCCCTAACTGGTATTCATCATCCTCAAAGAACTTTATAAACATTTACTAATCCTCACAAGGCATGTGTTTATGAAATGGGTGGTGGTATACTTATTTGAAAAACGAAACTGAGTCCAAAAAGTAGAGTGACTTGCCCAAGGCTTTTGAGGTAGCATGTGTCAGAGTCAGGATTATAACTCAACTCTATGCTCAGACCATAGTCAACCAAGCTTTTCTACTTCTCAAATGTGAAATATAAAATTATGTTCAAAGAGGTTTTGATAGCATTTTTTTAAATTTTCCTTTTTACCTTAATGGATTTCAGAATTACATCTCACTCGTGTAAGATGTCATGTTTTCCTATGTAAAACATGTCAGTATGATTTTCATTTCTTTAAGCAAAGCTAATGGTGTTTAAATATAATTGTACATTTCATGATTATTATTTTTTTCTTCCAGATTTGCAGCCAACATAATGCTGGAGCTCCACACTCGAAACAAGCATTTCACAGAATGGCACAATCAGAATTTAATTTGGATCATGAAATATCATGGTTTGTGCTTCCCTCTTATTGGGCTAAAATTATTGTTGGACTCATTTCCTGCATGTGTTTTGCTAACAGCTACGATGGAGATTTTGTCTTTGATGACTCTGAAGCTATCATCAATAATAAGGTTTGTGTTTATTCTGACTTAAATTGTAGTAGAAAAAAATTATTTAAACTGATACTGCCAACTCTACTCTGCTCTGGTTAGGCCTCAGCTGGAGTATTGTGTCCAGTTCTGGGCACCGCATTTCAAGAAAGATGTGGAGAAATTGGAAAGGGTCCGGAGAAGAGCAACAAGAATGATTAATTTCAGAGTAGCAGCCATGTTAGTCTGTATCCGCAAAAAGAAGAACAGGAGTACTTGTGGCACCTTGAGAACATGACCTATGAAGGAAGGCTGAAGGAATTGGGTTTGTTTAGTTTGGAAAAGAGAAGACTGAGA